AGCCTGAGTTTTAAGCTGCTGGGTCCAGGACTCGAACTGTGGCCGACCACGTGGGAGTCCAACAATGTAACCATTACACCATCTGCGAGTCCTATATAACTGTGTTTTGTTTTGTTTTGTTTTGGAGAGGTTTTTGCTATAGGGCATGTGCACTCGCCAGAAAGACAGAGAGACAGAGAGAGAGAACCACCCCCCCCGGGGGGGGGATGGCTACTCTACAATACCTTCTCCTAAATTCTCTTCTTGGGATCTTGGGCATGCATGCACACACGCTTGGCATGAGTTTCAGCCACCAGGTCCAGGCCTCGAACCGCGATCGACTACATGTGAGTCCAGCGACATAGCCATCACGCAGACTGCTGGTACCATAACTGTTTTTTTTTTACCTTAGGGTGCTTGTGCTTGCTGGAGAGAGACAGAGACAGTGAAAGGGAAAGTGAGAAATCACCCCCTGGGGGATGGCCACACTACAATCCCTTCTCCTCCTGGGTTCAGGGGACTCGAACTACGGTCGGCCATGTGGGAGTTCAGTGATGTAACTGCTATGCCATCTGCTGGTCCCACATTATAACATTTTTTTAGAGAGATTTTTGCTAATGGGTGTGTGCACTCACTGGAGACACAGAGAGAGACAGCGAGATACAAAGTGAGAAATTCCCTTCCAGGGGGATGTCCATGCTGCAATCCCTTCTCCTCCATTCTCTTCTCAGGCTTTTGGGCACATGCACTCATGCACCTGGCATGAGTTTTAAGCCACAGGGTCTGGGACTCGAACCGTGGTCTACTACAGGTAGTCCAGTGATATAACCATTATGGCATCTGCTGGTTCCCCACATTATAACTTTTAAACCGTGTTCTATCTCTTTCCAGCCTACAAAACAAGACAGATATGTGTGCGGAGGTTTCTGATCCTCCTGGCTCTGCAGCAAGTTTCTCAGCCTCAGGAGCCCTGCTAGGCTCTGCCCTGGGCTCTGCTCGGCTTCTCCATTTCGCTCTCTCTCGCTACAGTCATCCGCTGTGTTCAGATCCTTCCGCTGCCCTGGGTTTCTGAGCGTCCCATCACCCCTGATTTTATACAAATGTTCTAATCTATCAGACTGGCCTCCCTGCCACCATCAACTCATATCCTCAAGCATCTTGTCTTCCCCTTCACACTTCCTCTTCTACCTTAAAACTTTTGTCCAAGAAGTCTCATGATTTTGCTCAAGGGCTCAGCCCACGGCTGCCAGGAAGCCAACTGCTGATGGGGCGAGTCGAGGACTGTGCTGCACCCAGCTTGCCAGTCCTTACTCCAGCTCCGAGCTAGGTCTGCGGAAGAAAGGGAACTCCCCTCACCCCTGGGAAAGCACGCCTGCTCTCTAAGCTGCATGCGACGAGCAATGCATCCTCAGAATGGGTGACTTTTCTTTCCTAGCGGGCACATGGTATGGTCCCAGCAGTGCCCCTCCCACCCCTGGTAGTCTCCAGTCCCAAGCAGATTTCTCATTTTCACAGCTGTACTGACATATTTATGTTGATTCCTTGTAAAGTCATTTTATTTCTCTCACAGTACCTGAAAGCTAGGATTGCACCTCTCTTCCTATATTTTGATGCCTAGGAGTTGAAATTTTTCTGTTCTCCTGCCTCCATTCAAACTCAATGATAGACGAGGAGTTGAAGTTAGATAGCAGGTCAATTGTAGGATCCACGGGATAGATCATAGGAGGCTGTGGTGGTTTCCTTCCTTGTCAGCAAGGCCAGATTCCGGGCTGCATGGGCTGAGGCAGGGGGCTGGCGGGAAACACCTTCTGGAGGCCCTGCAGGCCCCACGATTCCCGCTGCAGGAAACGGGGCCAGCTCTATGCAAATGCGTTCTTGCCCAGGAGTTTGGTTTCTTCTCTCCAAACTCCTGGCACAGTGGAACCAACGTGAGTGGCCGCTTGGCAGGACAGAGAAGGGCAGGCTAGCAGTCCCAAGGCTCGGGTGACAGGGCCAGGCCCAGGAGACGACGATGTTGACTGGGGCTTTAACAGCACTCCTGATGCCAATCGCAGGCTGAAAACTCGATATTTCCACTCAGAACAACAAAAAAACACCAGTAAGAGGGCTGGGGAGAAGAGGGTGGTGTACCAGGAGTGCCCCCTGCAGGTCTCTCTAGATGGTACCAGAACAAAGGAGGCAGCACCGGCTGGGTGGGGCTTCCGGGAGATTCCTGGGGTGGATGGTGATGGTGCTGGTGAGGATGAGGATGATGGCGATGGTGGTGATATGACAGTGATGGAGACGAGGGCCAGAAGGAAGAGGAGGAGAGTAGTAAGCATTTCCTGAGCACTTACAATGTGTCAGTAATTGCTTTAGGTCATCTTCATGACAACCCTCAGAGATGAATAATATGGCTATTTTCATTTTTTAGATGAAGAAACAGGGTTTTAAAGAGACGAAGTAATTTGCTCAAAGCCACCCTGCTAGTAGAGTACAGTTGGGATTTGAACCTGTCATTGCCTCCTGCTATACTTTGAATATGTCCCTCCAAAACTGTTACATTGAACCACTATAACGAGGGTAAGAGGATGAAAACTTCATCCAATTATCTTGTTGAAAAATGGGACCTTTGGGAGTAGAATAAAGATTGGGTGCTTAGAATAGAGCCCCTGTGACTGAATCCTAGTGGGTTTATAAGGAGACAAAAATGAGGCTGACAGAAGCCACATGGATACAGACCAGCTTCACTCTGCTCAAAGTTCTGTCATCTGCCATTTTCTGATGCCTTTGGATTTCCCAGTCACCAGAATCATGAGTCAAATAAACCTCTATTTTTATAAATTACCCAGTCTCGGGCATTTTCGCTTAGAAACACAGTGATGGACTAGGGTATTTTCGAAGCTTATATTATTCAGCACCCTGCTTCCTATCTTGCTGATTAATTCCAGGAACTTTTAACCCTCCAGTGTCCAATGCTACATCTTCCTGCTTCTGTAGCTCAAATGTCCTTGTTCCAACTTCAGGGGATCTGAAGAAGAAGCGTTCAATATCTTGGGTATGATACTGATAATAATAATAACATCTTGCAGTGGTATACCACTCTCTGCTTTTAATTACTTCCCTGGGAGAAAATGAACATTGAAGTATTTCCAGTTCTCCCCATTTTTTCCCTCATATTTCAGCCAGTGTTTCTGTAGCTATTTCTATGTAGTCACGATCCATTTATAAGACTATTTTCAGGATCTGCTTGTCACATCACAGTGTGTGTACACACACTCACATATATAAATATAGTAATTATAATGACTTTACAGTAAACTGACATATTGAAATGCCACAGCTACTACTGAGGTGGTGTAACCGTGAAAAGAGCATGTGGCTGACAACACCAAAGGCTGGTGAGGATATGGAGCAAAGAAACAGGAATTCATTCCTGGTGGGAATGCCAAATGGAAACACCACTCAGTTTGGGTAAATCACCTACCCTTTCTCAGTTTTAGCTTCCTCATCTATAAATGGAACAAAACTTACCTCATAGAATTATTGTGGGGATTAAATGAGATATGCATCTCATTCAGAGCTGTGCTCACAGAAATATTATTAGTATAGTTGCCTCGTGGTATCCAGAGGGGAATGGTTCCAGAACCTCCCTCAGAAACCAAAATCTTGAATGATCAAGTCCCTTATATAAAATGGTATAGTATTTGCTTATAATAACCTAAGCATATCCTCCTGTATTCTTTAAATCATCTATACATTACTTGTAGTACCTAATACAATGTAAATGCCATGTTAATAGTTGCATGTAAACAGTTCATTATGCTGTATTTTTCCTTCTTATATTATTTCTTTTTCAATTTTTTTTTTTTTTTTGTCATAGGGCACATGTGCTTACCCAAGAGAGACAGAGAGAGGGAAAACTGGAAATGACTCCCACCCAGGGGGGATGACCAGGCCACAATCCCTTCTCCTCCATTCTTCTTCTGGGATTCTGGGCACACATGCCCATGGGCCCAGTGTGATTTTCATTCAGGACTCGAACTGCAATTGGCTATGTGGGAATCCAGCACCTTAACCACCATGCCACCTGCTGGCCCCTCAAATACTTTTGATCCATCGTTGCTGAAATCTGCGAGATCTTGATGAACATGCAGCCCACCATGAAGGCGTTCACCATGGAGCCCGCTGGACACGGAGGGCCTACTGTAGTGAGTGTTACGCGTTTATGTGTCTTTCTCCCCCAGGGAAAGATGGGCAGAGATCTATTCGCGTCTGTACCCACTCTTATTTAGCACATTGTCTAGGACATGGATTCCCTAAAAGTTTGTTCAGTTAATAGTTAGTAATCCCTAACCTAGGCTCTCCTCTCTGTTGGACATTTGGGTCATTTCTATGCTTTTTGATATAACAAAATACACTGCCAAGCCCTCCTGTTTTGATCCGCATATCCTATGGAGGCAGGAAGGGATGTTTGCGTAGGCCCACAGTCTGGGGTAGGTAGAACGACTAGGGTTTAGAGAAGCCAAGGGACTTATGTGGGTCCCACCATAAAGCAGTGACAAAGATTAGAGCCTCTGACCCTGCTTCCTTTTTCAGGTGGGTCTCTCTTCCCTCTGCTATCTCCTTCTGGATCTGTGGCCTCTCCAAAACTGGGACCATGACAGTGGCCTGACCTGAGAGCCACACTAGCACCCAGAGGCTCCTGTTGGAGCTGGTGAGCTGCCAGCTACCAGATGGCCCTCTGAAGCCCCTGGGAACCAAACACCTTATTCCCAACACACCAAGGCTTGTATTTCCTCAGAGCAGGGAGCTTCTTAGGAAAGAGCCAGCATATCTGCTTCTTCCCCCTTTTTTTTCCTATGAGGGGGTGAGGAGGCAAGCTCTCAGTTGTCCAGGAGGAGGGACGTTGGCTAAAAATAGCTATGGCATGTAGATCAGCCTCTAGTGGTACCCAGGACTGGTGAGGGGAGGGGATGCTGTGGAGCTGTCGCCAGACTGGTTGCTGTGGCAACAAGAGAGGAGCAGGGGAGCCTGGGAAATGGGGATGACACAGATAGCAAGTCCGAGTCAGAGCTGCCGCTACATTTAGGAGAAGCAGCGGTGACTGCAGCTCCACCTCCAGGGGGGTCCGTGGGGGGGTGGTGTCAGGGGAATGGACGTCACCCCCCTGGGGTCTCTGCTGCCGGCTACTCTCCTCTCCACGCACTGTGAGTTGAGTGGGGGACTTGGGGTTTGGGCCCCTATTTCCAAGGCAAGTGTGGGTTTGGGAAGAGCTGGTTCCTAAGGGAATTTTCACCAGATCTCCTTCCAAAACATAAGCCCCCTCACTGCCCAGCACTCTTTAAGGAGAGGAAGAGGGGTCCAGGAAAATGTGGGACTGGGCTCTTTGGAAAGGGGTCATGGCATGCACAAGAAACGAGAAGGAATAGGTTGGAGGAACTGAAGTTATTGGAGGGAAGATGCAAAAATCAAGTCCTTGATCTTGGGATGGGGGCAGCAGTTCCACAGCGCTCCTTCTCTATGGGAAACACACACACACACACACACACACACACACTCACTCAGGAAGACAAGAGACGGGACACAGTCAAAGCAGGGCTCACCTAGATCCCTGGAGCAATGGAGAGAGAGTTCTGAGAGTGATCAGAGTCTATCCCTGGGCAGGCAGACTGGGGGGCAGATGACCCAAAACCCTGTGAACATACCTTGAAGCCTCCCTGGGGTCAAAGCTGGGGTGCATGGGAGCTGGGTACTTTTCTGCATGACCTGGGGTCTCTGGGCCAGTCACTGCTTCGAGATCACTTCCGAGGACATCCTGAGCTGCTTGCTGGGGGAGGGGAGGACCCTAATCTGCCATTGCCATGGTGTTCCTGGACCCTGAGTACCCCGACACCAAGAAAAATAAAAGTGGGGGGTACCCCTAAGGTCCCAGCCATCTCTTTGGTTTCTCCTCCTGCCTCCTACCCCAACACACACACCTTCCCCAATGGTCCGGCTGCAGAGCTCCTCACTCCGGATTCTAAATTCGACATGCTGGCTTTGGAGCCCCATACCCAGGCAGTTTCTCCCCGGGACCTGGTCAAACATCCAGGCCATCTGTTTTCCTTATGTCACTCCCTCCCCCAGCCCCCAGCCAGTCCAGGTTTCCTGGGAGTGGAAGGAGAGGATGATTCCCAGGGAGAAGGGGAGCTGGAGAGGCCCCATATCCTCATTCCAGATCTTTCTTTGTATGGTCCTCATACCTCTTAAGGGACCCTGCATGCCTGGAGAAGGGCCCTGGGTGCCTAGGGAAGGGCCTGGACTTCTCTCTCAAGCAGATTGCAGCGCAGAGAACTCCTCCAGGGAAGAAGTTGAAGCAGTATCAGGTGGGCTTGGCTCAGAATGTGGGCTCTGGGGCATATGGCAGGGGGCGGGCCGGTGTTAGGACTCAGTGGGAAGTGGGAGGCTGGAGGGAAAGAACTGGAGGGTGTGGAGAAATCAACGTGGGTGCTGCCTGCTTCGCTTGATCTGCTTTCATCTCTGTCTTCAAGAAGAGCATACTTGGGACCAGCAGTTGGCGTAATGGCTATGTCGCTGGACTCCCATGTAGTCGAACGCGGTTCGAGTCGTGGACCCGGTGGCTTGAACTCACGTGTGTGTACATGCCCAAGATCCTGAGAGGAGAATGGAGAAGGGATTGTGGCATGGCCATCCCCCCTGGGGGGGTGATTTCTCAATTTCTTGTTTTCTGTCTCTGTCTTTCTGAGGAGCCCTGTAGCAAAAATCTCTCCCAAAACAAGAAGATCATACTGGAGGGATGCAAGCCTAACCCTGGACGCACTCTGGGCTCCCTTCACCCTGGCTGCCTGTCCGGCCTGCTCCTTGTTTTCAGGCAGTGTGTACTGGGAAAGAACCCAGGGAGAAGTGGAGCTGACACCAGAGCAGCTAGGCTCATGGTTGGGCCTCAGGGTTTTTGGGGAAATGTTCAGCCTCAGTTTCTCCAACTTCCATTTGTTTCTGGTTTTAAGCTTGCCAAGGGGAGGAACCGCAGGGGTGGAGGAGAGGGAGTGAGGTCCTGAGAGGTCAGGGGGGAAAGCCCTTCTGTGTGTCAGTCTTCGGGAGAACTTCCAGAGACACCTCCAGGCTGACTCGTGGAGAGCAGTCACTGGGTGGCTGCACTGACCCTCGCCAGGAAAAGGGGGCGGAAGTCCTGAGGGCAAAGAGGTCTCAGCCCACCGCCGGCCTGCAAGGAGGACCAGTCTATATGCGTTTAGGAAACACCCTCCCCGCCCGGGTCTTCTTCCCGGGGCTGCCCGGTGGGTGCGGCACACCCGGGTTAGAGGCAGTGGCACCAGGATTCCTGCTACCTCCTTGCCTTGAAGTTACCCTGGAGCATGCATAGTGCCGGCCGGTTCGGGTACAGTACCCCATTTGATCTGAGCCTTCCCAGCTGGCGGCAGGCGGGCAGTGCGGGTTGTGCGAGCTGTCCCCATTCTACCAACCGGGACCTCGGGACCTCGAGGCTGAGAAACACAAGGCACCAGCTCAGGGGCATCCAACGAGTCCGTGCTGGTCCCGACGTTTTGTGCTTCCTCATTGGGTCCGGGTCCATTAATTCGCCAAACCTTTCTTAAGCCCTCCCAGGACGCCCGAGGTCCCCCAGGGCCCCCGCCGGCCTGCGCCTGAGTGCACGGCGCCCGCGGCCATGGCGCAGGAGAACGCGGCCTTCTCGCCCGGGCCGGAGGAGCCTCCGCGGCGCCGCGGCCGCCAGCGCTACGTGGAGAAGGACGGCCGCTGCAACGTGCAGCAGGGCAACGTGCGCGAGACCTACCGCTACCTGACCGACCTGTTCACCACGCTGGTGGACCTGCAGTGGCGCCTCAGCCTGCTCTTCTTCGTGCTCGCCTACGCGCTCACCTGGCTCTTCTTCGGCGCCATCTGGTGGCTGATCGCCTACGGCCGCGGCGACCTGGAGCACCTGGAGGACACCGCGTGGACGCCGTGCGTCAACAACCTCAACGGCTTCGTGGCCGCCTTCCTCTTCTCCATCGAGACGGAGACCACCATCGGCTACGGGCACCGCGTCATCACCGACCAGTGCCCCGAGGGCATCGTGCTGCTGCTGCTGCAGGCCATCCTGGGCTCCATGGTGAACGCCTTCATGGTGGGCTGCATGTTCGTCAAGATCTCGCAGCCCAACAAGCGCGCCGCCACGCTCGTCTTCTCCTCGCACGCCGTGGTGTCGCTGCGCGACGGCCGCCTCTGCCTCATGTTCCGCGTGGGCGACCTGCGCTCGTCGCACATCGTCGAGGCCTCCATCCGCGCCAAGCTCATCCGCTCGCGCCAGACGCTCGAGGGCGAGTTCATCCCGCTGCACCAGACCGACCTCAGCGTGGGCTTCGACACCGGCGACGACCGCCTCTTCCTGGTCTCACCGCTCGTCATCAGCCATGAGATCGACGCCGCCAGCCCCTTCTGGGAGGCGTCACGCCGCGCCCTGGAGAGGGACGACTTCGAGATCGTTGTCATCCTCGAGGACATGGTGGAAGCCACGGGTGCGGAAGGGCCCCGGGAGCGGAGGGGGTCGGTGGGGAACCGGACTTCCGGGGGCCTGGGGGTGGGGCTGAGGACGGTGGGTGGAGGGGCTGGTGGAGGATGAGATGCCAGTGACACAGGGGTGCGGGGGTGGCTAGAGCTGCTCCCAGGAGAAAGCGTGGAGGAGTTCTCCCAAAGGGCCCTGGCTCAGAGCCCTGACTGAGGTGTCTCGTGCGTGGCCTGAGGAAGTAATGGTGAGAGCTCGCCCTCACCAGGTGCCCCTTCTGGGTCCTGAACGTTCCAAAGCACTGTTCCTTCAGCCCTTGACAAGAACCCTCTGGAGGCTACTTCTTGGGACTGTGCTCATCTTTCCGAGGGGAGACTGACCCAGAAAAGGTTCAGGAAGATGCTCCGTTTCCTAAGCCAGTGAGTGGCCAAGCCTGCACTGGACAGGGAGGCCTGGCTTCAGTGTTCAGTAGGTCAGGGTTGGAAGGAGAGACTAGGCTCAAGGATGTTTGACATTGCCTAAAAGGTGCCAGCCCGTGGAACTGGATAGTTTTCCGTGGCCTGAGTTATCCCTAGGCTGGACTTTAGGAGGGGTCGATACTTGGTCTCAGCCCTGCCTCAGTTTCCCCATCCAAAGACTCAACCTCTACCGAGGGACACAGATGATGCTACTATGCGAGCCCCTTTGCAGAAGAAACTGGCAAATCCCCTGTGAGGTCCACACCTCCAACTTAGGTCTCGCAGTGAAGGGTTTGAGAGCAGGTAGAAAAGACCAGTGCAGGGGCTGCAAATGGGGTCGCTTAGGACTTGAGATCCAGCTGTGGAAGAGGACGCGGACACTGCAGGTGGAAATCCAAAGGTCCACTAGGGGGCGCTACAGTTCCTGCCTCCAATGTGAGAGTTGCTGGCCTTTTGACAAGGTGGTGCCTTCAAACCCCTCCCCTGGCCCCTTCTCCCTGAGCCTGTACTACATGCACGTGCACACGTGCACACACACGCATATGCACACCCCACATCAATGCTTCCCTCATTCCTCCCTCACCTCAACTGGGCTCCCCTAAGCTCCTCCCCTCCTCCCACTCACCCCATTCTCTTTCCTCTGGGTTTCTCCAGTTATCTCTCCTTTTTGCCACTATCTCACACAGGACCCTCTCCCTATAGAGAAGTTCCCACTCAAGGCTGTGCCCTCACCCTTGCCCTCTCTGTCAACCTCTCTCATCCAGGTGTGTCCTTAAGCAGTGTCCCCTCCTTTACGTACTTCGTATTCCAGCCTCTACCAGAGACCACTGCTGTCTCAGAGCCAGGCTTTCCGTGCAGAGCCCGTCTGTGGTATGCTCCCTCCTTGCTCTGAGGTGAACAGAGAGGGGGAGAGAGCCTGGAGAATGAGAATGGCCCACCCTAAGGAGGACTGTGGAGACTTGGGTGGAGGAGATGGGCCAGGGACTCGTCCGATTTTTCTAGAGAGAGAAAGCTGGAAAGGACAGCAATATTTGGGGCAAGAGAGTCAGGATTCAAAGTGCTTTTGAAAAGCAGGGATAATGAGCCCAAGCCCAACAAGATGACATTTAAAAGGAATAAATATAAAATTCTACATTTAGGCTTTTAAAAAAAAAATCACTTATGTAAGCACAGCAGGGAAGAACTCTGGGGAAAAAAAAAAAAAAGAAAAAAAAAACCTGGGGATTTAGTTGGCCACAGGCTGGATGTTGTAGCAATGTGATGCAGCTTCCAAAAATGTTTATGTAACGTAATCTCGGGCCGGGCCGGGTTAGCTAGAGCACCGCAGCCAGAAGAGAGCAGTGGCGAGCCCTCTCTCCTGAACAGATCAGACACGTCGGTGAGCGTGTCACATTCAGAGCGCTTAAAGGGGCCTCCTTTTCCATTCTGGTGTGCAACCAAGAAAGTAACGTTTTTGGACCTGGGGAGGGAGCCAGGGGTGTTCAGGCTGAAGAAAAGACACAAGAGAACCTGAGACTCCAGTTTTCAGATACTCAAAGGGCTGTCAAGTGGGAGGGGAATGAAACCAAGGGCTGGAAATGCAGAAGACGAAAGTTAGCTGTGTGTGAACGACCAACGATGAGAGCCGTTACACCAAATATGGGCACCTTGTAAGGTGGTGAGCTTTTAGTCTTGGAGGGGAATCAAGAATAAGCTAAATGCTTGGGACCAGCAGTTAGCGTAATGACTATGTCGCTGGACTCCCACGTAGTTGACTGCGGTTCGCGTCCCAGACCCGGTGGCTTAAACTCATGCCGGGCACATGTGCGTGTGTGCCCAAGATCCCAAGAGGAGAATGGAGGAGAAGGGATTGCGGCGTGGCCATCCCCTCTGGGGGGGGGGTGAATTCTCGCTTTCTGTCTCTCTGTCTCTCTCTGTCTGTCTGGCGAGCGCACGCGCCCTATAGCAAAAATCTCTCTCTCAAAAAAAAAAAAAAAAAAGAATAAGCTAAATGCTCGTGGCTGGGAATACGCCTGTGGGGAGCCCCGATAGAGTGGGAAGTAGGACTACATTATCCCTTGGGTCAGTGTCAAGGCTCGGCTGCTCTGGCTGGCATCACTAAAGGAGGAGAGAAGGAAGCAGGGGCTGGAGAAGCAAGAGGAGTTGAGGCCCATGGAGACCCGCGAGGGAGTGGGTGGGAACAGGGGTGAGAAGGGGAGAAGATGGGCTAGACCTAAGGGAGGCGGGGGCCTCTGGAGCTGAAGTAAGAAGAGTCGTGGACGGAGAGACAGGAGAGGGAAGTCCGGGGCTGTGACCCCAAATGAGCCCTGCCCCTGTCCCCAGGAATGACTTGCCAAGCTCGGAGCTCCTACCTGGTGGACGAGGTGCTGTGGGGCCACCGCTTCACGTCCGTGCTGACCCTGGAGGACGGCTTCTACGAGGTGGACTATGCCAGCTTCCACCAGACCTTCGAGGTGCCCACACCCTCGTGCAGCGCCCGGGAGCTGGCGGAGGCTGCGGCCCGCCTCGATGCCCACCTTTACTGGTCCATCCCCAGCCGACTGGATGAGAAGGTGGAGGAGGAGGGCGCGGGGGAGGGCGCGGGGGAGGGCGAGGGTGCTGGGGCCGACAAGGAGCAGAATGGCTGTCTGCCACCCCCAGAGAGTGAGTCCAAGGTGTGACCAGTTTCCTCCAGACCTCTGTGGCAGACCGGGGGCCGGACCCAGGTAAATGGGGAGCCGGTGTTTGGAGGTGAGTGAAGAGGAGCCAGGCAAGGTCCCTGGGAATCGCTGAAGTTGGAGAGGACCTCAGGACCTGGAGGCTAGGATCCAGCATGGTCCAGGAGCGGGAGGGTGGGGCTGGGGAACATCCTGTCTGTGTCTGACCTTCGCATCTGTTCATGGGCGGATAGACGGACAGAGGATGGACTGAGGGCTGGATGGAAAGGTGGTGGCAGAGAGAGCTGCTCACGGGTAGGTAAATGGACGGACTGACATTGGTGCAGTCTAGGCCACTGCTAACCTGCAGAACACCTTTATGCAAATTCCAAAAAGAACCCCTTCCTCCAGATTTTGCTGCCCTAAAGCAGGGTGCATGGCGTGGGGAGCAGAGTGTGGGATGGGGTGCAGCCCCCTCACCTCCTTGATCAGCCTTCCCGTATGACCCCCCTGTGTAACTGGACACAGTAGCCCCAAGCTGAACCAGAGGAGAGAGCTGGGGGAGTGGGCAGCGATGGGGAGGTGCCCTCCCAGCTTCGCCCCTACCACCGTGATAGGCTGTGCAGGAAGATGGCGGGCTCCGAGGACGCCCAGCGAGGCGCAGTTGACCCTAGTTCACACTGATGCAGGGAAGCAGCAGCTGGGCCTGGGGGCAGGGCCAGGGAGCAGAGAATCAGGGGTGGCTATTTTCTGCAGAGGCAGGAAGGGAGGGAGAGGTTCTGGGAGAGAAGGGCCAGAGGGCGATCTCCAAAGTGAGTTTGGAGAGGGGAGTCTGTCCTTGGAGCACAGGCACTGATGCCCTGTGGGGCAGACACCCACGGAATACAGGGCACTAGGAGACAGGATGATGGCTGCGGCGGCCAGGCGAGGTACACGGTTCACACCGAGAAGCTGCGCAGTCTGTCAGAGCAGGGGGAGGGATGTCGCGGTGATCAGAAAGCAGGGGGCTAAGTGAGGCACCGGCAGCGGTGTGAGCCGGCAGTCCCACACCAGTGTGTACCAGAGTCACTGGAGGGCTCATTGAAACCCAGGTTGCCCCACTCCCTGGCCCTCTGCCTCAGGAGGCCTGCTTTTGGGTGGGACCACAAAGCTGCATTTCTAAGCAGGCCCCTGGTGGTGCTGTTGGACGTGGAGATGGCGAGTGAGCTGGGGGGTAGCTGGGAGCCATTGAGGAGCCTTGGGGAGTGGACAGACAGGAAGACTGTGTGTGAGGAGGGAACAGTGGGCCAGGAGCGGCAGTCGGTAGAAGGGAGGCAGCAGGAAGGTGACGGACAGGGCAGGTACGAGGAAGTGTAGACAGCCTTGAGCCAGAGCAAGAGGGACTTCAGAGGCCAAAGATGATCCCTCGTAGGACCGAGTATGGGAGAGTGTGAGAGAAGCGGGAGGAGGCCGCACGTTTGTGTGCCCAAGCCTGCCGTGTGCGCAGCTGGGACAGGGCCCTGGAGGCACGGCTCCCATCCCACCCCTGCCCCTTCCCAGTCTCCAGCGGCAGGCCCCCCCCCCCCCCCCCCTTTTGGGTGTG